GTGGAATGGTGTGGGGTGGTGTTAGATGGTGTAGGATGGTGTGGGGTGGTGTGGGATGCCTCTTATCTTCTTAGTAAAGGTTGTGGTTTGTAAAAATACGACAGAGAAAATTTGTATCAAAAGTGTAATAGGAGAAAAGATGATGATTTACATGGTGACGCAATGGACCTGTTACCTATTCACACCCATCCCATAACATTAAAAATCTATTATTCTTAGAATGTGAATTAATATTCTTTTTTTACTAGAAAGCCTCTTCGGAAAAATGATTACCAATGCAAATATGTTTATGTCAAAACTACCCCATACAATAATTCAACCGAGTTGGTGTTCTTTATTGTTTTGAATTGTCCGCTACAAAAATATCCAATCTCAGAGACCTAAGATTTGTATACTATAAATAAATCATACTGTTACTTTATAAAATAAATCAAAACTAGCAGGTTGCTGAGAAATGTTAAGATTTTAAAAGAAAAATGTACCAAACTTCGTCTGTTGAAAAATGCCGCACTAAATTTTGGTGTTAGCTAAAGTTTAGCCTTTTGAAACAGTTTGTTGGTGCTACGTTTGTTTTTGTCATGGTTGTACAAAGTTATACCTAGCTTTAGCTGTAACAAAACACTTTAAAAACCACAACATTCATACCACATACCACCGCTGAACTAATTTCCAAAATAACAATTATGAAAACAAAATACTTTAAAATATGACATGTTTTATCAATAAATATAAATCGAGCTATACACTTTTATGAGCCTAAATATTTTAAGCCAAAATATTATTCCGTGAGTTATAAATACTTTTAAAAAAATTGTATACATCTTAAAAACAAAATAATCAAAACAGTTTAAACTTAACGAATGTTTGCGAGCTGATTTTCAAAGAAAGAAAACATGCCGATAACCTTTTAAAGCAAAAAAATCAATATCGCTAGAGAAATGTAAATTTTCAATTAGACATCGAAACATCTGCTTCAGACATAGGATGTGGACAGGGGCGGAGAAAGGATTTCAGCCGTTCACTTGTTGATGTCGCATTCAAATTAATTAGAAGCTTGCTCGAATGTGGATTTTTTTTTCAAGACTGACATCAAGGGGAGGTAACTCTAAAAGGGTGAGACGAAAAAAAGCGAGACAACCCTTGTTTTTAAGTTTTTTAAGACGCGTTGACTTCTTTTGCAAGTTTTGTTTTTTGTTGTTTTTTTTTTTTTGCAACACTGGAAAAATATTAAGTTTAAAAGTACTAAGAAACAAATATTCACAATTAATGTTATGTCGATTATAATACTAAGTATAGAATCAAACGCAAAACTGATATTTATTTTCAGGGAATTTGTATTTAACACCAAAATTTCCACAAAAAATTAATGTCCTCATAAGTTTCAAATTTTTTCGCTATTATTTTTAAAAAAATTGATATTGTTTCTTAAAGACAGTGAAATATTTACTTGTTTGCAAGTAAAAATGAAATAAAATTATTTATTTTATCATATATTTTTTAAAATAATGCAATCAAGCGTTAATGCATTTTATGTGTTGGGTCGTGTCACTAAATAGATCCCAAAAATCACTCATCGACCCAGCAGACTTGAAAGCACAGAAGATTAATCTGTAAGTAATAGCGGTACAAATACATCTAATGTCAAGACCTACTTGTAGGAATGCGCTTCAAGGAATTGCTATTTCACAATTCTTTTCATCTCAAGGGGTTATGCAATATAGGCAAAAAAAAATTATAGATTTTTATTATTTTTTTTCGTTTGTTTTACTGCCGTCAATGTTCATGTTGTTGTTACTTGTTCATGACTAGCGGCACGAAGACGATATGCCAAGTGGCTAAAGAGGATAAACGTTGAAGAAGGAGCAGGGCTAAAGAGGATCACAGTTCAACAGGGGAGGATGGCGAAAGAGGATCACAGATGAGGAGAAGGGAGGGCTAAAATAGATCAAGGTACTGAGGGTAAGGGGGGGGGATCAATGCTTCGACTTTGTCACAATTGATTTGAAACGCGAGGCTGTGGAAATGACATTTCATCTAACGTACGACCCCTAACTCAGCACGGCGGTTGGCTTAAATTTTCTGACCCCCCCCCCCCCCCCCACATACACCTCAGCTTAACTATATGCACTTCCAAGGCTTTGAGAATAAGCCACCAAAGCGTATGTTACCCGTTAAGATTCGATCTCATAACAAAATCTCTTTAAAAAAATATAATCAGGCATTTAACACAACTACGCTAAAAAAAGTTACATAACGCAATTAATAAAATAAAGCAAATACATTGGCTCTGATTAAATGCACAAAAAAAGAAAAAAAAAAGAAAAAGTATTATTTTTTAAAAATTTCTTTCTTTTTACAAACACAATTAATCATACATATACATCATATTTAATCCATTTTCCTTTCACTTTTTTTAAAACACTAGTAGAAATCTAGATCTATATTCCAGGATTTACATCACTGCGTTAAAAATAATGTTTATACGCGTATTTCTAGTGTAAAGCGTTGCTAAGCAACCGTAAACACACCACGCCCTAGTCCACAGGTAACACACGAACTATCAAAGTAGGACTAAAGATGAGTGCAACTTCCAAACAGTATTTAGCGTTAGCTACACATCTTGGTATAAACAAAATAGCAGCGTTAAGTTTTTCTTTAATGGGCTTTTAATAACTTCCACACATGGAAAATGATACAGGCAATCACATTACAAGCAATCACAAAAGTATTGTTCATTCTTGTAACTTAATAAGTACGACAAGCTCTCATACAGCTTCATATATATATATATATATATATATATATATATATATATATATATATATATATATATATATATATATATATATATATATATATATATATATATATGTATATATATATGTATGTATATATATATATATGTATATATATGTATATGTATATATATGTATGTATGTATATATATATATATATATATATATATATATATATATATATATATATATATATATATATATATATATATATATACATATATATATACATAATTATATATCTATATATATGTATGTATATATATACTTATACATACATGTACATAATTTATATATATATATATGTATGTATATATATACTTATACATACATGTACATAATTTATATATATATATATGTATGTATATATATACTTATACATACATGTACATAATTTATATATATATATATGTATGTATATATATATACTTATACATACATATACATAATTATATATATATATATATATATATATATATATATATATATATATATGAATCAGAGTTCAAAAGTTACTAATATATCTTAATAGGCATACAGGTTTAAATCATTATACAACTTTGCTCATGACCATTGAAGGAAGTGTAACTCAGGTACAAAACATCTTTGTCAATTACTGGAACTGTCTCTCTTTAGGGACAATAAAAGGTTCATACACCTGGTCAGTTCTTTACAATGCCAGACCCCAAAAAAGTTCTGGTATCATTGGGGAGGGGGGTGGGTCGTATTCGTTAATCTATAATCTATATATACTAATACTAAAATATCACCTGTGGAAATAAATGCTAGAACATCCTAGACACAATTCAACAGAACAAATACGAAATAAAAACAAAATAAAAATGCTGTTAAAATTGAGTAATGGAACCGATATGTAGTAAATAACATAGTAGACTAAAATTATTTATACGAAACAGATCTTAAAATCTTTACAACTGACACAGAAAAAAAAATCTCTAGTAATCTAGTAATTTAACTTCTGCAGTAATTAAAAGTAAAGTTTCCCTTTCAAACCTGACGGTCTATGGGGCAAGTGAAGTAGAGTACACTTTTTTCTGCAGTAATTACGATCATAATAATTTTACCTTTGTGGAGTAAAAAGAAGCTAAAACATCTATTAAAGCTGGTTTATCAATAAACTAAATCAGAAATCGAATACGTGTGTTTCAAAGCATTAATATTTCCTTAACGATACTAGCAGAAAGCAAAGCGTAAGGGAAAACGTATCGATCAATACAACCACGCACACATGCAGGCGTTCATCTTGTCTCGACTCACCGCTCATGTGTGAGTCGGGTTAAACACGAACCGTGCGGCTCACCAACTGGAGAAAGCTGGATTTACACGTGCGTGCTTGTAGGTGAGTTATTGAGAAAAAAATAAATCGTTAATACATCAATAGACAGGGGTCGTGTTTAACATTGTCAAACAGTCATGCTGATCGAGTGTTTTTTTTTTAATCCAGTGTGTTGGATGTACTATCCATCATAGTATCCATCATATGGTACAGCGTAAGTCTTATGCTGGATGTGTTCATCTGTCACCATGTGTTGTATCGCGTGACAAGTCACGCCCACATGACCTCAAAAGGTGAAAAGGTCAAACCATTTCAAACAAGATGTAGAAATCTATGAAGTCTGAGAAAACAATCCCATAATCCACTTGATTGGTAATCCCATAAATGAGTACATCCACAGGTAGGTATATTCAGAGAGTGAGTGATCCAAAATAAATAGATCCAGAGTTAAATTGATCTAGTAGCAAACAGGTAAATAGACACACTGGTAAATAAATCTAGAGGTAAATAGATCCAAATGTAAAACAGATCTAAGCCTAGTTAGATCTAAATGTAGATAGATCCAAACGTAGATAAATCTAAGGGTAGATAGATTCGAAGGTAGATAGATCTAAGTGTAGATAAATCCAAGTGTAGATAGATCCGAATGTGGATAGATCTAAATGTAGATAGATCCAAGTATAGATAGATCCAAATGAGGATAGATCCTTAAATCACAAGTGTCGAAAGGATAATTATTTCCTGTCTAGGAAAAAATAACTCCACCCACAACATCAAACATTACATCCTCTCTGATACATCATGACGTGCAGAGAAAAAAAAATCCAATTCTTGAGTTTCACAAATTTAAAAAAAAAAAAAAAAAAAATAAGCGATGAGGATATGAAAATATGATTTTTTTAAAAAAATTTTTGTACTTTTTTTTCCCCAAGGATAATAGTGTTACTAATTAAAAATAATGCTCTGGTCGCTAATTAGATACATACATTGTGTATAATTGGCTGTTTCGCTTCATGATCTCCACACACGGGCCCAGGAGCCGCTCGAAACAGTCTCTCTCTAGGAAAGCGACCTTGACCTTGCCGACGGCGTAGACGTTGGCCGTGCGGGGTTTGTTCTCGATGAGTGCCAGCTCCCCGAAATAGGTGCTGGTCGTCCGCATGCCGATATCCGTTTCCGCGCCATCCGGGGACGAGATGGTGATGCGGATGTGACCCTCCTCGACGAAGTACACCCCGTCGGGGTCGTCGCCCTGTTTGATGATGGCGTCGCCGTCTTGGTAGACGCGCGAGACGAGGGCGTCGGCGAGCGTCATGCGCTCGTAACGGTCTAAATTCTGAAGGATGGTGACGCTCTCGAGAAGGTCTTCGTACTTCTTTCTTTTCTTGAAGGCGGATTTGAGAACGATTTTCCGGAAGGAGTTGCGGTCCATGGCCCAGAGGGTTCCCTCGGTGACGGAACGGACCGTGGCGGAGCGGGGCATGTTGTACATTAGCGCCAGTTCGCCGAAGCTGCCGCGGTTGTCGAACTGGTGCACTTTCTTGTCCTCGCCCTTGATGTCGACCAGCACGTCGTACACGCCGTTGTCGATGACGTAGAAGTTATCCCCGTCGTCCCCCTGGCGGATCACCGTCTCCCCGGGGGAGACTTTCTTCTCGAACATGGCATCGATAACCTGCTGCGTCTGTTCCGGTTCCAGAGACCGGAACAACAAAATCCCGCAGACTGTTTTCGTAAGTCTTTCACGCTGTTCGTCCGTTTTCGGGTAAATCACTTGATCATCATCGTCTTCGTCTTCTTCCGGGTTGTACCTCTCCGCGGATACAGATTGCCGACGGGCGTAACGGCCGACGGTGGATTTGGGCTTAAACGCCGTCCGTTCCGGTTCGCCAGCTTCATCGTCGTCCTCGACAATGATATACATAGGTACGTCTTTCGGTTTCCGGGCCTCCCTCGCTTTCGTGAAGTAATCGACGGCGAAGTCATACAGATCCCCCGGCCTCTCTTTCAGCACGGCCACTGTAAAATCCCGCAGAAGATCGCCCAGACCGTCTGGAATCTCTAAATTCATTTTGGCCAACCCGCCACGAACAGACGCAACGGTGCTGACGCCAAAGGCGGGGAGGGGTGGCAGGGGCGTGCAGCGGTGGTGACTGCCAGCGAGAGCCAGGCAAGGAAAAAGAAAGAAAAAAAAAGCTACGTCAATCGATATTTGAGGCTGCCACTACGATCAAGTCAGATCAATTTGCGTTCTGATTTATTTGAGCGCTGGCACAAGCCACGGTGATATACTTTCAAGAATTCGCCCGTCTCAGATTAGCTCGACGCTAATAAAAAGTGTTACTTCTTATTCTTCTAAAAAAAAACGAAATAAATGTTTTATTTCTTTTTGTTTTATATCGCTTAAATTTGATTCAGCTTTGTATTTTTTATACTGTTTCCTAAACTATATCTCGTTTAGCAGATTATTTATTTATATATTAAAAAAAACTCAGATAAAACTGCACAGTAAATTTACACTCGACAACGATCAGAGCGGATTAATATAAGATGCAGACCCGATCTCGTGAGTATTTGCCCAGCTCTGGAATTCAATGCCGTCGTCCGACTGATCGATGCTGCTCTACACTGCTTGGTCCCTTCATAAATATTTAACAGCAGCCGGCTTTCCGGCCTGGCGAGAACTGACCGGCACTCGTCAAGTCAATGAAAAGTTCTATCTCCAACACAACTCGGGGGTTAATCAAAATTCATTTGGATGATCCGATGTGTCTGTTAGTGTTGGAGAGAATTGGTTGAGATGAGAAGTAAATAGATTTTTTTTTGTAGTTTCGTTTTCTTTGTCAACAAAATCGGGAAATATTTTACTCGAATATGGTATCGATACTATTAATACAAGATAGATCCTGTTATCTCATAGATGGTTGAAAACAGGTATCGATATGTGTTATTACGCTCTCCGCCCCCGTGAGCATTGTCCAGGGAGAGATGAGAGGGGACACAGAGAGGCGGGCAGGTCGATAACTGTGGGTCAGACACACCTGCTAACGGGCTCTGTTTCTGCCTGGTATTTTCATCGATTCGTCGTCTGCTTTACGTTTCCATCGTTATTGGCTCCGTGCGAGAATAGAGGTCTGAAATCAAAGGAAAATAAAACCATAATTACCAAAATAGTTTTTTAGCATAAAAGAACAGCGGAAATGATTTATTTTAATTAACACATTCTCTAAAAAAGTAATTTTTCCCTTTCAAACCTGAACTTTTATGAGGCTAGTGAAGTAGAGTTCACTTGTTTCTGTGTCTTCGTCATATGAAGAGATAGTGTGGTCAGCACTATGCCCAGCCGCCTTTACTTTCCCTATTGTGAGTCAGGTACCCATCACAGTTGGGTGGACTCAGGAACGGTCTACTGACTTGAACCCGGATTCGAATTCGAGACTTTCGTGTTCGCAGTCTAGTCTCTACCGCTAGCCCACTCTGCCCCACTATTCTCGTAATACAATCGATTATTAGATTTCTCAATTTAGAAAAGACGTTTCATTTTACTAATATAACTGTTTTACGAGAAAAACATAAATACAAATAGAATACTAGACAGTCAATTTACAATTCAAATGTGTCCATATTGAACTGTTGGGGAGCCAAATTTGGATATTTTTCATCATAGTGTCAGCCTCAATATATGCTCAATCTGTTTTTGTTTGGATTTTATTTAAAAAAAAAGATTAAAAAACAAAGTTTTAAAATCTTCACAGGCATGTGTTGAAGCGCACCAGATTTAAATTGATCACGCAAACTGACACGCAGACATGCGGGGTTCTAATGTTACAGCAGGCAATTTTTTTGAAAATAAAATATTCTTGAGGAGAAAGGCGGAGGGTGGCAAGGTAATGGTAGCTGTAGAAACGTATAAAAAATAAAAACGGCAAAACCCAAAGTAGGCCGGGCTTTGTTTAACATATGGAAGTTTCATTGACTCGTTTAAAAAAGTATGGATGATGTTCTAGACTGATATTCTGTGTTAATTTTTTAGGTCAATTTTCGTTGCCATGATCATGTTTTATTTTCTCGCCAGTTCCCAAGACACAATATAGTCAGATGAAGTAGAGTTCATCTGTTTCAATGACCTCGGCAAGTACAAGAATGGTGTGAAAAGTGAGTGAGTCATGTGCCCATGATAACTGGAAGAAACCTGGAACGTTCTACGGAATTGAGTCTGGGATCCGAACCTTCGGGTTAGAAGCCGTGCGCTCTCCCATCCGACCACGCTGCCCCATTGTTTCATATTCGCAGCCCCTATTCATAGGTGTTTTTCTATTGTCATTTTCCATTGTCATTTTCTAGACTCATTTCGTTGTCTGATTCTCGCTCGTAATCTAGCAGTGTTTCTTTCAGACTTTTTTCTCTGGTGTGTGTGTGGGGGGGGGGGGAGGGGGGCTTTTGACTTTCGGGGTGAGTGGATGAGGGCACAGGTAAAAGTATATATTTTTTCTATATAAATTATGTTTCGTTGGGGGGGGGGGGGGACGTGCTTCTGGGGTGGGGTACGGTACCGCCTTTCCGAAAAGACGCCGGAAAGAAACTCTACATTCTAGGCTGATAATATTGGTACATTTTCTAGGCTCACATAATATTCTCATACTTGTCACCAGTATTCTACGCCCACATCTTCGGTTCGCATTCTACCCCCTCATCACAGCTAATAGTCTTAGCTGATGTTCACGGATGTATAATTCCATCGCCCAATCTCCTCCAGCATATTCTTAATTCGGGCTGACACATTCGTCCGATCGATGAAGACGATCGATCTCAGAGCTGATCGGGTTCCTGTCATCACGTGATCGATCAGTTCATATAGGCCATCCTCATCAATTGGCCATGTTTCATCGCCACCCGGGCCATCAGGACAATCATTACACGTCACAGCTACAACTTCAGCTTAGTGCGACGGGGGTGGAGGGGTTGTAGGGGGTGGGGTGGTTGGGAAGGTAGTATTTGGCTAGGTAAAAGTTAGTACACAGAAATATAATATGTACTTAGCAGAGAGAAATATAGTATGTACTTAGTATACAGAAATATAATAAGTACTTACTACACAGAAATATAGTATGTACTTAGTACACTGAAAAATAGTATGTATATAGTACAGAGAAATATAGTATGTACATAGTACACAGAAATATAGTATGTACATAGTACAGAGAAATATAGTATGTACTTAGTACACAGAAATATAGTATGTAGGCCTACTTAGTACACAGAAATATAGTATGTACTTAGTACACAGAAATATAGTATGTTCTTCACGGAAATATAATATGTACTTAGTACCAGGGGCGGAACTACAGTGCCGCCAGACCCCGCAATGCGGGGGGGCCCACGCCATTTAGGGGCCCACGGCTGACCATAAAAAAATTGTTATAGTTAAAAAAAAATTCTTGCATTTTTGACTTAATGTTTGTTTTGTAAACTAGATTACCGTAGCTGCGGTTGGATTATCTTTATTCTATATACACCAACCCACGTTCATTTTTCCTTCATTTTTAAACCACTGTGAAAGCCGAGTCCTCTTTCTCCTACAATCAAACTTCTCAAAGATAAGCAAACGTTTAAACAACTTCCATGACTTATTTCCCTTTTTTAAATAGTCAAATAGTGATACTCATAAGCCTCTTTTTAATAGATTTGTACTAAACAAATTAAAAAGCAATTACTTCTCTTTGTTATTATTTGTTTATAAATTACTTACTAAAGAATGACACTGTATAAAAAGAAAATGTATTTAAAATTAATAAAACAAATACAAAAAAACATAAAAATAAACATGACACGAGACACCATTATTTACAGAAAGCTTTCATGTTTTATATTCTTTTGACCGATATGTTTATAAAGGACTTACGACAGACATAATAAATAACTGCTTTTCACAAAACAGACTAATGCACTTACACACATGACATGATGTTGTAATTTGTTTTAATTAACAAAAACCCACGTATTTCTCAAAACACGAACAGGCCAGCAATAAGTATCCTATGTTCGTATTATGTGTTTGAGTATATATATATATATATATATATATATATATATATACATATATAGGCCTATATATATATATATATATATATATATATATATATATATATATACATATATAGGCCTATATATATATATATATATATATATATATATATATATATATATATATATATATATATATACATATATATATATATATATATATATATATATATATATATATATATATATATATATATACATATATAGGCCTATATATTTATATGGATGGGGGGCCTAAAAAAATTTTTTGCGGGGTGGCCCTTTTTTTCTAGTTCCGCCACTGCTTAGTACACAGAAATATAATATGTACTTAGTACACAGAAATATAGTATGTACATAGTACATAGAAATATAGTATGTACTTAGTACACAGAAATATAATAAGTACATAGTACACAGAAATATAATATGTACTTAGTACACGAAATATAATATGTACATAGTTAGCAGACAGCATATAGTATTGACTAGTTAGATAGAAGTAGAACAATTGATTTGTGTAAATAAAGAACATTATATATCGCATTGGACTTGTGTGTGGTGATTTCAGAAAAAACTTTACAATACCGGATTTGCATCTCATCACCCCCCACCCTCAGAGTATTGATACCCAGGTTTCTCCCCTCCCGACTTATAATCTTTATTTTCAGAAATGGAGCTCATACTTTGTAAAAATCCTGTATGATATGTACACATGTTTACAGTGAAAGAAATAGCTATCGATGTAAATCTACAAAAGTCTTTATATATCGAATGATGAGCATAACGATGCAATAGCGGTTGGTTATGGTTAGGGTTAAGGTTAGAGTTAAAGTTAGGGTTATGTGTGATTTTCTCAAACGTCCATGTTTGCATATATACATTTAATTTGAAAAGTAATATAATTACCTAAACCCGGTCAATGCCGGTTTAGTAAACGCTGCTTAATAAACAAACAGTCCATTACAGATAAGTTTTTCACAGAGGCCAGTGCAGGGCCTGGCCGGGACGGCAAGTTAATAATGAAATCTTAGATTACACTTACAATAAATAAAACAATCGCAGCTCGAGACTTTCGGGTTACCAGTCTAGCGTTCTACCATTTAAGCCACGCCGTCCCATACTGTTGTGTCGGGTACTTGACCGTTAAATAGTAAAAGCTAAATATACGGATTACACCTTGTCTTCACATTTTATAGTCATTGGCACAGAAGGAAAACCATAACAGTAAATATCAAAAATGTGTGTAGGACACAGGGCCGCAACTCCATTCTCCAAAAGATTCATGGTTTGATCATCATTGCCCCTGCTCCCTACTTGCACTGACTACGTGAAGTTAAAATTAGATCATTCATTTTTTTTTTCTGGAAAAATCCGTTAATTTTTTTTTTCAAATGCTTGATTTTTTAAATGTGTATTTTATTAAAAGTAAAATTTCCTTTTCAAACCTGACGGTCTATAGGGCAAGTGAAGTAGAGTTCACTTGTTTCTGTGACCTCGGCATATGAAGAGATAGGGTGGTCAGCACTATGCCCAGCCGCCTTTACTTTCACTAACGTGAGTTGGGTGTACACAGGGACGGTCTACTGACCTGAACCCGGATTCAAACTCGAGACTTACGATTTAGCACTCCAGCTCTCTACCGCTAGACTACTCCGCCCCCAGTGTACTTTATTGCCTGAACAAAAATACCGTCTTTTTTTTTCTTTTTATAACGGAGAACGTCTCATATTCGTTTACAAATTACGCACGAAACACATTTTGTTTCTATCAAGGAGGAGTATATCCGTCAACATTTAAATTCCCTGGACTTAAAATATTATGAGAAGATAACAGATATTTCCCATTTCTCTTGTTTACCTCCCCTTGTATCAGTCTCCTACTGTGTACATTTTCGTTTCATCTGTCTCGTGGTAAAATTGTGCGCAAATCTCCTGATAGTGATTGTGATTTGAGATGTTTTGGGTAAATAATCGGCGTAATTGTTGACAACTGTATTCTTCAATACCGCGCGTCGAAGAAGATGTTTGGTATTCGAATTAAATAGTGTTTTTTTCTGACATTTTGTTGT